TCTCTCTCTCTCTCTCTCTCTCTCTCTCACACACACACACACACACAGTGTTCAACAGCACAAGCATTCCACATTAATGGTTTGCTTTGTGTCCCGGAGCAGATCAGCACAGCACACTAGGGCTATCAGCAACGGTGCTTTGAAAGGGGAGGGGCGCATGTCTCCAGGGCGGCCATGTTCAAAACAATGAGCAGAGTGGTCACTTGAGGCATTATGGGACAGCTCTGGAGGCCAATTACAGCGCAGAAAGCAATCAAGTGTCTACACTGGGAATAGAGCGCTGGAGCCTCTGTGCAAATAGCCTTACGACTCTCGCCAAGGTGGGGGGTTTTTGCAGCGCTGCAGCGGAGCCGTTTCTGCGCACAAAGTGGCTTGGCAGGGTGGACACCTCTGCAGTTTGAGCGCAAAAAGCTGCTTTACAGCGCAGAAACTTGCCAGTGTAGACAAGCCCTAAGTCTCTGCTCTGCAGGACTGGGGTCCTTCCTGTCTTCCGGCTCAGAGGGGAACAGAGGCCAGAGCCTCAAAGGGCAGCAGTTGAGGCAGCTGGGGAGGAGTCACAGCCACCAGCCTGTTCACCAGCAGCAGCTTCGTTTCCTCGTTCACAGAAGCCAGATAGAGGGTGGAGGCGATAGGTAGAGAGTTCTCATTTATGATAATGTGGAGGAGTCTGACGGAGGAGCGGGAAAAAGAGTTGCTCTTTGGTGAAGGCAGGAGTGGGGAATAGACACGGGGGGATCTTGAGACTGGGCATAGGAGCACATTAGGTGAGGAACCCAAAAGAGGGAAAACAGGGAAGAGCTGGGGAAGGAGTGCAGGAGAGCACCTTGAGAACGGGAGACAGGTACAGAGGAGGTTGGGGTCAGGAGGGGTAAGTAACAGCTGGGGAGAAGTATGGGAGACCTTCACAACCCATTTATGGGAAGGCACAGGGATCTAGGGGAGGTGAAAAAGAAGAGGAAGGATGACAGACCTTGAGAGGCAGAGAGCAGCACAGAGATGGGTGACAATTAATAACCAGCATCCCCCCTGTGATGGGGTGTCCACCCCCACAAGCCCTGGGAGGTTAAGGTGGCTAGTGGGCCAATTAACTCCCCAGGCTGCACCTGGAGGAGGAGCCAGGAAGCAGGATGAGGCTCAGGTGGGGTGAAACAAGAAGGGCCTGAATCAAACCCAATAGCTGAGAGCAGCTGGGGGGTTGTGGGGGAAATAGTCTGCAGTCACTCCCTGGAAGGAGGGAGATGTGTTTGGGACTACAGAGGCAAGTAGCCTACAGTTACTCCCTGGGAGGAAGGAGTTTGGGCAGGCAAACAGAGGGGGGCAGAAAGGTAGGGGAAGGCTCAAGGAAAGGTAGGAAGATCCAGGAGAGAACAGACCTTGGCTGCTCATTAGAGGGTCCCTGAGCTGGAACCCAGAGTAGAGGGCAGGCCCAGGTTCCCCTGCCAGCCATGGAGGAAGTGGCACCATGGGGAAATGAATGGGAAGACTGCCTGAGTGGCACTGAGGAAAAAGCTGCAGTTCCTGGAGCAAGACGGGCTGCAGGGTGAGAGAAGAAGCTGGGTGGAGAGACCACCAGAGGAGGGGGCAGCACCTGGAAGGAGCTAAATCCCAGATGGGCCAGGAGGAGGTGCCCCAGCAGTGAATGGCCCCTGTGACATCCTCTTTCCTCCCCCACTCCCTTATATGGAAAACTTAGCACTGATGCAACATTAAGTAATCAAGCACAGAAAAGTGAGGAAATTCTATTATTAAGGCTCCGACAGCAACATTAACTCTGCCACATTGCACGTATGCACTGGGGTATTTTATATTCCTGTTTTCCTTGTTAATCTATAACCGTCCGTGGTTTATTTTTAACCACATAATTACCACTTTATAACCCCTAGTACTGAACTTGTATTTGAAGCAGGTGAAGAAAACAAGTTGCATATGCTATTTATAACACGAGTCAATTACCACAAAGACATTTCATAAAACAGTCATGAGATTTATTGAGATAAATACAATAGAAAGTTACATAGATTCTATATTCTGGCAAATCAGTGGCACTTCCAGAGTGTCTCCACTTATTTGGACTCTAAACAACACTGTTTATAGATGACAGCTGCCACTAGGGCAGAATCCTGTTAGTTGCCAAGTGTGTATCCTATATAGCGGATACAGGGAGTTTGAATTCTAAGCAACATGACTAACATGCTTTGGATTACAAGTGCCTGATAATTTTCTACAGCATCCAAGCAATATTGCACCACTAATGTTATTCTCATGTCCCTTAGCCAAAAGTGTTTTAGAGTGATATTCTTGCTGCTTTTGCAAAAGTGGATTGACTACCTCACTTTGCTCCATTTGGCTTTCAAATACAGTTTTTGCATAATTTAAACAGCCCAGAGAATTGCATGTGAATACACAGCTTTAATCTTCATTGCAACCATTTGTCTAGTGTGAGTGGTAAAGTGCAGTCTTTAGTCATGCTGAAGTCATATTTCCAGTATAAAATGAAAACAAATGCACACCTTGGAAAAAGTGAGCCAGTTTAATAGAACTGCATGTTGTCTGAAGTTAAAGGAAGATCTATGTTGTCCCCTCTAGTGCATGCAACTATAGAGTTTTAACGAATTTTTAAAAGCTCTACTAAAAAACCTCCCAAAATCACATCATTTAAAATGGACGTGAATTTCTGGAGTTAGAAAGGTGCCAAAAAAAGATTTAAACACACATTTTTGTTTTGAATGTTTAGTGACCTTAGTTGGTGGCTTACAAGTGATTCTAAGAATACCATCATGAAAAACTATCCCAACTTTCACAAACATACAGAAGTTTGTATTTTCCAGTAAGTTATTGCAGGTCAAGGTAATTTTTTGGAAGCAGAAAGCTGGGTTGTATTAATGTTCAAAGTAACCAGTTTATATACAGTACATTTAAAACATATCTATGTACACTTAAAAACATTATGATCAGTGCTGAGAAATTTAACGACCTGTTAATAGTCAACAAAAATAAAACCTGGTCAGAACAATCTTAGAAAATTTGAACTGTTTAAAAAATATTAGTATAATGTTAGCATTAGAAAAAGATATTAAAACTACAAAAAAACTAACTTGCATTTTTTTTTTTCTGAGAAATTGCGGTCATAAAAAATTGGTTTGCATTGAAGAGGCATTTGTTTTAAATTATATAAAAAAATTAAGGATGGAAGTTGTGGAATTTACAGATTTTAAACTGTTTTCTGAAATAGC